ATATTGAACCTTTTCACAATATTCTAATTTTCTGAGATACTGATTTTGAGGTTTTCATTAGTTTAGGAGTTACAAGTTTCACTTTTTGAATGGAATTACTGAAATAAATCAACTTTTTGATGATATTCTAATTATAGACCAGCACCTGTGTATATAATTAACAAAATGCAAATGCAGTGAACAGAAGACAAAATCTAAATGAGGTCAATATTTGGTGTGACCACCGGATATAAATGGTCGCAAAAGCCAGAGCAACTTCCGCGCAAACCTGCAAAGTTATTGTGCGTAAAGTTAAAGCTGCGAGAAGAAGTTAAAGATGTTATACTGGATGGAGAGGAACGGCAGCGGGTCGGGGACTCTCGACAGTGTCCGCATCATGTCCAGATCGGAGATCCTGAGAGAAATCGTCACCGAGAAACTGACAACAGCCGCGCAGGAAATCTTCGCGGTTGTGGAGAGAACCGTAGCCGGGTACGAGGAGGAGGCTTCGGGTCTGAGGCAGGAGATCGACCGGCAGAGGAGGCAGCTGGAGGCGGTGCTGCAGCCTCGGGTCAAACTAGAGAGAAGAGGTCAGTGGCTCAATATTGCAGGAAGAAGTAACGCTGTTAAGTTAGTCACAAACACTCTTATTTTAAGTTGGGAACTTTATTGGAAAACTTCTTTCTTTGCTCGCGGACAACCTGCAGACTCCCGAGGACATAAATGAGAACGTACACATTTCATGATTACTTCAAATCGGCACAGAAAGTTACACTTAATGTTTGCTGACTTTGATTACAAATTATTAACGTTTAAACTTTGCCTGGTCCTGTATGGTGTTATGAAAACCTGGATGGATTTCGGCTGTAGCAGTGGTTTTAGGCAAATTATTATTTTTAACTTAGTTTCTTTTACTTCTGATTGAAAACAGAATACTTGATCACAGATCCAGAAGGCCATGATGCTGTTGTGAGGGGGGAGGAGGAGCAGACACAGCAGTCAGGTGGGTCTACACGCTTCTTATTAAACGTGTTATAAAATGAGGGGGGAAAACCGTTATTAAGAATGAGTCACATAGAAGAATCGGTGAAATTTTAAAGTTTAATGTTAAGAAAATGTATTTAAAAGTACTATACCACACTGAGTAAAAGTCATGTACAAAAACACTTAAACAGTCTTCAGCTGTGGCTTAAAACCCTCGAGACTTTGCTGACCTGACTCCCGAGGAGAGACCATTTCACAGCAACTTTAAAAATGTTCATTTGTGACAGAGGTTTTGGTGGTATGTGTGTTCAGAGCCGTCTTCGGCTTTGTAGTATTGCAAGAGATTACTGGGTGCGTGACGTACGATGCAGTGAATGCGTGACCAAGGTGTTTTTGTAGCCTACTCAATAATGGCTGTTAAAACACCGTTGGCAGTGAACGTACTGCGCGCTATTTATGCACCCAGGGCGCCTTGCGTTTCGGCCGCCTGCTTTATCTTGCGTTTTCGAAGGAGTGCTCTGGGCACACAGGGTTGGGGAAAAAATTGAACTCTAGGCAGAAATCATCGCACCCCCCCCCCTGTCCAATCTAAAGGCCTTTTCACACGGGAAGCGATTTACGCGCCTCCTACTTCATTTTCAATAAGAGGCAAGCGTGTAGGAAGGGAGGTGCAGGGATTGCGACAGGCGGGCGTGTGACAAGCACAACAGCTTCACGGGAAAACGCCCGCTTGTCGCTACGCCCCTGCCCAAGTTGACTTGACTTAAATTTTCTGTACCCTATGCGACGTGCAGCACAAAAAGATGGATGAGAGACAGATCCTCGCCGTCTGTGACTTCGCTGAAATATGTGTTCACTGAACAGTTACTGTGACATTAACCAGAGGGTGTTTGCATGACTAGATTTATCAGCGATATGATTTTGAATTATGTATGTGCCATAGCCTACCAACTACCATTACTTATAGTTTTACTTCAAGCTAGGCTATGAAAGAAGTTTTCTTTGGCTGTCTGGTGTGAATCGCTCTCTTGAGGTCATGCCACAGCATCTCAATCAGGTTGAGGTCAGGACTCTGACTGGGCCACTCCAGAAGGCGTGTTTTCTTCTGCTGAAGCCATGCTGTTTTACTTCTGTGCTTTGGGTCATTGTCCTGTTGCATCACCCATTTTCTGTTCAGCTTCAACTGTGGACAGTTGGCCTTACATTCTCGTGCTAAATGTTTTTGATGAACTACATTTTTTTTCCATCAACAATAGCAACCCTTCCAGGCCCTGAGGCAGTGAAGCAGCCCCAAACCGTGATGCCCCCTCCACCATACCTTACAGTAGTGATGAGGTGTTGGTGTGCTGTGCCTTTTTTTTTTTTTTTTTTTGGTTTTGACGGCAGTGGCTTCCTCCGTGGTGTCCTCCCCATTTAGTGTTTTTGTATCCTAGAGTCATCAATTAGAGATGTTGGCATGTTCCAGAGATTTCTGTAAGTCTTCAGCTGACACGCTAGGATTTTTCTTAACCTTACTGTGCTTCTGCCTGTGCTAATGCACGGCTTTGCAGGACGGCCAGTCCTAGGGAGTAGCAACAGTGCTGAACTGTCTCCTTTTTTATTGACAGTTTCTTACCGTGAACAAATTAACATCTAAGATTTTAGAAACACTTCTATAACCCTTTCTAGTTTCATGCAACTCAACAATAATTCAAGCTTCTGGCCAACACCTCGAAATTTGTCTGCTTAGACTGCAGGTTGGCTTACTGCTGACTCCGCTTAACTTTTGGAGAACTCATTAGCCTAGAGGTTCACATGCATTTCTCCACCCTGCATTGTGAATATTTATGTGGTGAGACATGAAAACGTATAGCTGTTTGTGTGGTACAAGTTTAAGCAGACTGTGGTTGTCTATTGTTGTGACTTAGATGAAGATCAGATCACATTTAATGACTGATTTATGCAGAAATCCTGGTATTTCCAAAGGGTTCACATACTTTGTTCTGTGGCTGTATGTTGAAACAGAAGTTTTTTTTTCCTCGTTTGGTTTCAATGTGCAAATTCAAATGTTACTCTATGTATGTCCCTTTTATGCAGACAATGTTGTTCTGACCTTTTTGACTCTGTGTCCAGGTGAGGAGGACAGTGAGAGCATTGGCCAACTGCGGGATGATGATGAAGAGGGTGATGGTGGCAATGAAGAGCCGCAGCTTTCAGTGCAACCAGCAGCCAGCTTAAAAGATCTGAAGGACCCCGATTATCAAATAGAATCAAGGTCACAAATCACAGCTTAGCCAAAAGTATGTGGATACCCCTGTGGGCATCCTTTTGTGTGCTCCTGGTCTGTTTTCCCTGGAACCATTTTGTTCAAATAAAGCTTGTTAGCTTAACATGCTCTTAGCATGCTAGTTAGCCAAACCAAGTATGCTTTAGAATCTATGACTTATTAGTTGTCAACTATTAAATTAAACAGCAACTATTTTGATAAGTTAATTGGTTTGGGGTTTGAACATGCATGTAGGAGCTGTTATACATGGGGAACATGCCCCCCCTACACACACTTTCCTCCGGCAATTTCGGCTTTGGGTCATAGCCAGGGCTGTTTACTATGAGTGACTAGTCAATCAACCTATCAGACATGCTTAAACAGTTGAAATATGGACAAGAATCATGTAGCGTATAGAAAACGTGACACAACGCAGAGGTGGTGCTGAAAAGTTAAGGGGGGAAGTTTGCTCGAGGCAGATGCAGCAAAGTGCCTCAATATCACAGACTTTTCTTTTGTGCTGCTGTTACTTATAGCCTACCTGAAGACAGCAGAGTGGGCAAGCAACGCACATTTGCAAAATAAATAAAATAGGTCATTGGCACCTTTTCACGTTCCTTTTACAAAACTGTAGCCTACTTTTACTCTTTACGTGGCATTTTCTACGGGCCAGTAATCTACTTTGAATTTCGCTACGTGTTCCTAATAACTTAACCAGTTTGTAATCTGCATTTTGCTTCATTAACCGAAATGAGCTGTCATCAGACTGTGTACGCGCAGTTAGGCAGAAGAGTGCCATGTCTCCTTTTGTGGTACAGAGACGGCGCTTATCACAGATGAATGCGCTGGGCAGATGCAAACGTTTAGAAAATCAGGCAAATAACATTTCAGTTTAAGGCTTTATTGCTCGAATACAACTGAAGTCAAGTGAGCGCACACCATGGCACTGGTGGCTGAGTCAGAAAGCAGCCTACGTCGCTCTTAACAAGCCGGCAAGTGAAATACTTTCCATTAAAAGCGTATTTAGTCTCCGCAGAGCAAATGAAGACTACTCACTGTAGCCGAACATCTAAGTCAGATGACCACTGCATTGAGTCTGATATATTAAAAGTATACTGTTGTGGAGCAGAGCATCGCTTTCTTCTGATGGACATTTGCCTGTTTCTTTCACATCGGTTACTATTTGTTTTATAGCAAGTCCATAAACAGCAGCCCCAGCTGTTATTTATTCAGGAAATCATATTTGATATGCACAGAGTCCTTTCCATGGCTTATTTTTTTCTGGTGCTAAGCTGAACTGATTACTTTTGGAGAGAAGTTTCTAGTTTTGAAAATGTATTTTAATGGCTCATTTAGTTATATACTCGCATAAAATTCTCAGGAATAAAGGTCTCTAAATACCCAGAGGCCCAACAAATGCTTTGGCCGGAGAGTGGGACAAACATCAGGGCCATTTGTTTGCCCATGTCTGTGACCATCCTTGACCTTAAAAACCTGCTACGTGTCCATAAACAATTTAAAAGTACTCAAAATGGTCACACAGAGATGAGCATCCTACAGTATTTTAAGAGGACAGAGGTCACAGAAGGAGAAGAAATAAACTGAAGAGGACGAGCTTGTAAGTTGTATGGATAGCTAGTAGACATAGTAAATTATAAAACTCATTTAGTAAAGACTTTATTAGGCCAACGGCATGTTATCAGAGTTTGCATTGAAGACAGTTCTGTGTTCACAACCCCTGAACCCCCCTAAAATTTCAGCGCCAGTGATGCGGGGAATGCTAGTCACAGAGAAACATCTCTTAAATAGGTAGTACCAGTTTAAGGCTACGTCCGTGACCGTTCCAGTCTGCCAATGAGCAGGTTGTGATCGACTGCTGACTTCTTGGTTTACTATATCAATGAGGGCAGAAAGAGATATTGAATAAAGGAACTACTGGATATAACATCACATGCAGTGTTTCCCACAATAGGCTTTACGGTGGTGGACACCCAGGTGTATATTTGGCGACCCCATTTTGCAGAGAAACGCAGAGTGAGATGCTGTCTTTACTTTATAAGACGCGGACACGGTGTATATATTTTACAAGCACGGACTCATAGATACCGTTGTGGTTTCATTAGGCTTCGTCATTAACAAGCCTGCGGCTGAAAACAGAGTCGCAGGTGGAAATCGCAAGTTCTGTCATTTGAGTTTTACGTCAACAGAGCAGACCTACAGATAGACAGAGACAGAAAGAGGTGGGGCAAGCCGCTGTGTTTGCAGCAGAGGTGTAGGGCTAGTGAGTAAAAACTATAATAAAGGTGAGTTGGAGAATGAAGTAGAATTAAAATGGTTAAATAAGAAAGAACCTGTTGGTATAGATCCTGTCTCTGATGAAGAGAGAAGCATTCTCCCAGAACAGGTTGAAATTACAGATGAAGTCCATGTTGTGAGCTGTGCATTCAGACTGGAGTCAGTTGTGCAGGCTCAGGATACGGCTAAAACGGTCTGCTCCACGACATAGAGATGGAATAAATGAGACTTTTCACTGTCCTTTAAGATGTTAAACAGGAGATTAAAGTTGTTTTTGTTGAGCTCAGACTCATTTCGTTCATAGACGACAGCAGGATAATCGGATATTGTGTCTTCTGTAGACCATCTCTCAGGTTATTTTCTCTCAGAGATTCATCTGTGAGGAGGAAGCCTGGCAGACCAAGCCCCCAAGAAAAACCCAATCACCACCTCCTCAGAGTCTGCGTACTGGAGGATTCGCAGTCAGATGTTCTTTCAAACAATGGTGAATATAAAAGATGTAGTTCTGGATGGACTTAATTTGTGTTGGTTGTTAAGAGGTAATCTGGAACTGGGGAATCTTTGTTTCAGTGTTTCAGAAATGTCCGGTGCAGAGCTGCAGTGTCCTCGGGGCCTACAGGAGGCGGACTTCCTGGACTTCCTGAGATCCACCTTCCCTCAGCTGGCAGGACGACAAACCTTTTGAGGTCTTCAGGACCAGCAAGAGCAGGAGGCTCCAGCCACTCGCAGTAAAGACGCTGACATCAGAGGAGATCTACAGGAGCCTCAGGCTCACTGGAGCAAAAAACCCGACACTTTACATCCGACTGAAGGTAGATAACTAGTATAACCCATCTTCTTAAACTACATACATGTCCCTGCTCTGTAAGGCTCTGATACTATCTGAGGGTTCATGTGAGATAGTCAAAAATATAGCATTACCCATTAAATTGAACCAGCATCAGTTTGAATTTTTGTAAAAAAATGTTTTCTTAAAAGATATTTTGGGAATAACCGTGTGCAGACAGGAAATGAGGATGACATCACCACTGATTCTTCGTCCATGAACGCTCTGGTGAAAGAAAGTAATGAAGCTGGACTCAGCACAAGGTAATTAAATTTCCGTTACAACTGATTCCAAAAGTGTTTAATTTTCATGTTTGACATTTAAAAAAAAAAAATACTCGGCAGAACATTTTACAGTGTGAAAGTATGTAACTTCTCTCTGATCGGGCTGTCACTTTTTTTTAATTCACGATATGGGTTTCCCTCAAATGTATTCTGTGGTGGAAAGTATAATAGTATAGTATATTTATTTAATTACTTTACATTTGTTCCATTTTGAGTTGTCTGCACTTGGCTTTGAAAGAAACTCCACGTTCTACCTCTGCTCCACTACATCTGAGGGAATTATTACACTTTTTAAATCAATACAATTCTAGCTCTCTGTTTTCCCTACGCAGTTCTGGGTCTGTAAATGGAATACAAAGAAAGTGGTGTACTGTGATCCCCACAACGTTGTTGCAGCCAATCAGCAACAGGTGGCGTTTATGCTAAGGCACAGGAGTGAGGGAGCAGTGCGAGTTGGATAGACTGGCACATTTCCAGGGTTCCCGCGGCTCCTTAAAAGTTCTTAAAGAGGTGGTATTATGCTAATTTTTAGGTTAAAAATATTTATTATTATTTAGGGGTAGTACCAGAACAGGTTTACAATAATTCTCAAAAAACACCTTATTTTTGCCATACTGCACATTGCTGCAGCTCATCTTTTCACCCTGTGTTGAAGGCTTCGTTTTAGCTATGGAGTGATTCATCTTGTCTCTAAATGATCTTGTGTTGGGAGTTGCACATGCGGAGTTCCTAGTTAAGGACTATTAGCCAATCAGAGGCAGAGAAGGGCAGGTCAGTGAGAAGCCGGTAAACTGCTTCGATTCAGCTGTACATGTTGCCGACCAGCATGGCAAACTAGCCCTCATTATCAATGCGGATGCACATACATTGATTTACAAGTCTATCCTTCGTATGCTCCCCTCTTATCTTTGCACTTGGTCACTCAAGTGACATCAGTTCCAATAATTTGCACTCTGGTGACCTAAGCTACTCTGCTCCCTTCACCTGGAATACATTGCAGACTGACTTACAGCTGAAAACCTGATGACCTTTGGTGAATACCAACACCAGATGAAAAAGACTTGAAGCTAGAATCTATTAATTGTTGTCACTGCTTTTAAAGTAACAAATTCCTTTAAACATATACCTCTTGGAAGTATGCTGTTTATTTGTGTATCTTAAAAGTCATTGATGAATGTCCTTCGGTTGTTGTGGTTGTGTCTGTTGTTGTATTGGTGCTGTTTTTGCAACTCTGCTCTGTCTATTTACAACTCTGCTCTGTCCATTTGCTGCTGTTTTGGCCAGGTCTCTCTTGAAAAAGAGGTTTTAAATCTCAATGAGATCATCTGGTTAAATAAAGGTTAAATAAATAAATAAAAACTCAAGAGACATAAAAACACAGAGGCAGGAAATGAACACAAGAGAAAAGCTTGCCAACAAAACCACAAGAAAAAATAAACGACACAAAAAACGAAAACCATTGACTGGAGCAAGAGTTTCATAGTGGTGAGTTATTGATCTGTAACAAATTTATCTTTCATCCATAAAGTTTTATCTGAGCTCTGTCTCTACATCACAGTAACAACTTCATGTCCATTGACTGCCTGGAGGGTAGCTAGTGTTTGGAAGGGAGAGGTGGTGTGTGATGCAGCTCATTGTTTTTTCTCCTGTGTTTTTGAGGGCGAGTCGGACGAGCGTTATGAGGCGCATTTGCTTTCATCCCTGTGACGTCACTGGGATGAAAGGGAAGTGGCTGGACTACAAACAAGCTGTTTTCAGGCAGGTCAGAGCACTGTTTTCTGTGGGAGATGGGAACTCCCTTTGGGCTGGACTTCGGGCTTTTTTTTTACTTTGCAAACCTATTATATGCACAAAAAGGTATATAACTCAATAAAGGAGAGGCGAAAAAAGCACAATACCACCTCTTTAAAATAAAATAAGGGAATCTAAGGTCTTTAATTGTCTTAAATTTACCATAAATTTGCAGATGGTGCGTTTGAGGCTGGTGGGAAAATTGTCACGCACAGCTTAGCGTGTATTTGTTCGATTAACTTAGTATTTCACAATGCAAGACCTCGCCATTAATATAACTTTATGTTTTGTTTATGTTAGCTGCAGGCATTGAGGTCTGGCTGTGTGTCATATTTCATTATGGTCAGTCGTGCCTGTTCCAACATGACTGCGCACCAAAGCCAGGCCTTCTCGTCCAACATCTGTGTCTGACCTCAAATGCACTTCTAGAAGAAGCGGATGTTTCTGGTTATGGATGATGAGTGCAGTTGGGAGGGAGAGGACAAGAAGATGATGTGTGCAAGTTGCAAGGACATGACCGGGGATATTTATCTCAATAACAACGTTCATAGTGGATTGCAGGATCAGATATTGTGTCTTCTGTCTACCATCTCCAAGGTTATCGTCTCCCAGAGATTCGTCTGCGAGGAGGAAGCCTGGCAGACCAAGCCTTTTTGGAAAGCCTAATCACCACCTCCTCAGAGTCTGCATACTGGAGGATTCCCAGTCAGATGTTCTTTCAAACAATGGTGAATATAAAAGATGTAGTTTTGGATGGACTAAATTTGCGTTGGACGGAGGTTGTTAAGAAGTAATGTGGAACTCCTGGTGAATTTTTGTCTGTTTCAGTGTTTCAAAAATGTCCGGTTCAGGTGCTGCGGTGTCCTCGGGGCCTACAGGAGGTGGACTTCCTGGATTTCCTGAGGTCCACCTTCCCTCAGCTGGCAGGAAACAAACCTTTTGAGGTCTTCAGGACCAGCAAGAGCAGGAGGCTCCAGCCACTCGAAGTAAAGACGCTGACATCAGAGGAGATCTACAGGAGCCTCAGGCTCACTGGAGCAAAAAACCCGACACTTTACATCCGACTGAAGGTAGATAACTAGTATAACCCATCTTCTTAAACTACATACATGTCCCTGCTCTGTAAGGCTCTGATACTATCTGAGGGTTCATGTGAGATGGTCAAAAATATAGCATTACCCATTAAATTGAACCAGCATCAGTTTGAATTTTTGTAAAAAAAATGTTTTCTTAAAAGCATATTTTGGGAATAACCTTGTGCAGACAGGAGGTGAGGAGGAGCAACACCTTTTACAGAGAAACCACAACGGCACCACTGATTCTTCGTCCACAAACGCTGTGGGGAAAGAAAGTAATAAAGCTAGGCTCAGCTCAAGGTAATTAAATTTCCGTTACAACTGATTCCAGGAAATGACTCATTTTCATGTTCAACATAATGTTCACTACATCTGAGGGAATTATAACACTTTTTAAATCAATACAATTATTTCCCAGCTTTAGTTTGCAGATTCACATTAATCCAATCTAATATATTATCAACAAACATGTTAGACTAAAGGCATACTAAGCGATTATTTTCCAATACACTGTTAAATTTAGCAAATATTTCCTCACGGTTCGCTGGCTCTCCGGTTTTCCGTACTGGTGGTGTTCATGATAAGGTGCAGGAGTGGGGGGGCAGTGCGAGTCGGATACACTGGAACATTTACAGGGTACCCACGGCTCCTTAAAATGTCTTTAAAATAAATTACTCCTGACCCATAGCCATCCTACTACATGCCCACTGGACCAGATTCCTACAAATCTCCTCCAGGCCATATTTCCTACCGTGGTCCCGGCAATCACTCATGTGATAAATACTTGCTGGCTTCGGGAACATTACTGACCACTTTCAAAAGGGCTCGGGTTACATCCTTCCCCAAAAAGCCCTCCCTCGACCCTACTCAAGTTGAGAACTATCGTCCTGTTTCCCTTCTACCATTTCTATCCAAAGCTATCGAACCTGTCTTCAAACAGGTCTCAGAATTCCTCTCACGGAATGACCTCCTAGATCCATATCAGTCGGGTTTTAAGAGTGCCCACTCTACTGAAACGGCTCTTCTGTCTGTAACAGAAGCCCTAAGGTCAGCTAAAGCTGCAACCTAATCCTCGGTTCTTATCCTGCTTCACCAATCAGCTTCCTTTGACACAGTCAATCACATGATCCTGCTATCCGCTCTCTCAGCAATGGGCATCTCGCGTAAAGCAATCCTGTGGTTCGAATCCTACCTCTCGGGGCGTTCATACAATGTTTTGTGGCAAGGACAATTATCCTCCCCCCACTGCCTCTCCACAGGGGTGCCCCAAGGCTCAGTGCTTGGGCCCCTTCTCTTCTCAATTTACACCACCCCTCTAGGGCCAGTCATTCGCTTGCACGGCTCCTCTTACCACTGCTACGCAGACGATACGCAACTCTACCTATCCTTCCTGCCAGACGACCCCAGCATCTCTGCACGGATCTGAGACTGAATTTGCAGATTTTGTGTTTAAGGCTGGTGGGGAAAATTGCCTTTGTGAAACGCCTTATAAGCGTGTATTTGTTTGATTAACTTAGTATTTCACAATGCAAGACCCCACCATTAAAATAACTTATGCTACGTTTACATTGGCTGCAGGCATTGACTGCGTGTCATATTTCATTATTGGTAGATTAGGATTAGGAGACGCAAATTTAAGTTTAAAGTGGTTGGAGGAAGATCTGATCATTCTGTCTAGCTCAAACAAGTGCCTCGGGCAAGTGCAATGCAAAGCGTCGGATGCAGTGGTGTAAAGCACGGCGCCAATGGACACTAGAGCAGTGGAGACGTGTATGGAGTGACGAATCACGCTTCTCTGTTTGGCAATACGATGGACGAGTCTGGGTTTGGCGGTTGCCAGGAGAACAGTACTTGCCTGACTGCATTTTGCCAAGTGTAAAGTTTGGTGGAGAGGGGGGATTATGGTGTGGGATTGTTTTTCAGAGGTTGGGCTTGGTCCCTTAGTTCCAGTGATAGGATCTGTTAATGCTTCAGCATACCAAGACATGTTGGACAATTTCATGCTCCCTACTTTGTGGAAACAGTTTGGGGATGGCCCCTTCCTGTTTCAACATGACTGCGCACCAATGCACAAAGCAAGGTCCATAAAGACATGGATGAGTGAGTTTGGTGTGGAGAACTTGACTGGCCTGCACAGAGTCCTGACCTCAACCCGATAGAACACCTTTAGGATGAATTAGGTCGGATACTGCAAGCCAGGCCTTCTCGTCCAACATCTGTGTCTGACCTCAAATGCACTTCTAGAAGAATGGTCAAACATTCCCATGAACACACTTGGAAACCTTGTGGACAGCCTTCCCAGAAGAGCTGAAGCTGTTATAGCTACAAAGGGGGGACAATTCAATATTAAACCCTATGGATTAAGAATGGGATGTCAATAACCTCCGTGTGCATGTAAAGGCAGGCGACCCAAAACTTTTTGCATTTGCGTCCATCTGGTCATGGTGTCCCTGACCACCTACAGATGTGGTTTTGCTAATGGGATCACAATCTGTCCTCAATGCATCTCAGGTGCATTTACACCTGTACTTTCATGTGGACAAGTGCTACCCGATCACGCATTTTAATGCCAGGTGTAATCAACCTCTATATTCCCCAATTCGGAATATGCAAATGGTGAAAATAATATGCATTGCCTCGTTCATTAAAGAGAGCTAACTCTTCTCTGTCAAAGAAATTTTGGGGGCTTAAATTGTATTTGTTGAGGTCTTAAAAAACATTGAATTTGACTTTTAAGATGGTGCAAGAACCCAGATTTAAGCATGCTGGAGTTGAGGCTCTGTGAAGAAAAACGAAAAGGTCAGGCAAGGCAACGCGAAAGACCCAGTGAGGAGAAACGGCAGAGATTTGAAAGGATACATAAACTAGACTTTGGCTTAGAAAAGTATTTTGTTTCAATACCTATTTAAATATCATGATTATAAGCTAACTTGCCCTCTGCCAGCAGACTGTGGATTTGGCCGTTTTTCAGTAGAGTAGTACTGGTCGCCATGTTTTATGTAAAGCACTTTGAATTGCCTTGTTTTTGAAAAGTGCTATACAAATAAACTTGCGTGTCCATGAATTTGGGGGCAGAGCTTCAGAGGGAGCAGTGAAAGGAGGGTTGTTTTTTTTTTTTGTTTTTTTTTGGCAGTTGAGTTCAAAAGACTCTGCAGAATTGCTTAGTATCCCTTAACTTTACACACGTTTACCATCTACAACATTAAAGTGATGAACACATTAAAGCATAAATAATGAAATTCAAATAATATTATACATTATTCTGGAATGGGCTATTCTGTATAATGAGTACTTCTATGAATCATTGATGTCTGATAAACATGTTGTAACAGCCTAAGCTGAACGCAGCTGAGGGCTACACACAGTGTAAAAGTAGTTGGTGCGCCGCGCTTTCTGTGGCCGCCTTGTTTGGTTTAGAAAGAATGTAACAAGAGTTCAACTTCTGCTTTCTTCTCTTTCATGAGAGATATGATTTATTGTTGCACATACGATTTTCAACATCCATAACAGTACATGTTATAATACGGTACACATCTCCATCGACAGTTTCCTAATATCAAACAAATAGGTACAGCCGCCACATCGGTGGCGATCAAAAACTGGCTTTTCCCCTATGACAACACCTGTGTCTGATTACACCTACCCTCCTAAGTAAATGAACCCCAATTAGCTATGCCAGCACCCTAGTAACACCTACGGGCCAACCCTGGACATAAACATTGAAATGGCTCCTACACATGTTAAATACATTTTCTTCCTCGTAAACATTTGAAAAACTCTTTCCTTTTAAATATTTGAAATGCAGTGTAGCTGGTAGTCTTTTTTTTTTTTTCCCCTAATTGCAGGAGAAACAAAAAAGCTTCAGAGTCCTATACGAGGTCAAAAACTCCACAGCGAATTTATAATAATTCCTATTGCTGTATTTTATGTTCAACTTTGGTCTGGATTAATAACCTGTGTATGCACAAAGTAATGTTTACATTTTTTCCACAGCTGCCCTGTTCAACATGTGGAAGGTGACAAAGTGGATGTTCAGTCCAGCAGATCAACATCACAACAACAGGACATGGAAACAGAGAAAGCTGATGATGAAGATGCTGCTGAGAGCCAAGTGGACTCCAGTGATGACGAAGACAAAGATGGAGATGAGGTGTTCGACGGAGACGACGACTGGAAACCAGATCCTGAGCTGCAGTCGCCAAAGAAGAGGAGGAAGAAAGAGTCTAAATTGTCTGGTGTGAAGGGGCAGTTGATTGGGAGCAGTAAAACACCTTGTGTCTGTGTCTGTGGAGTTCGTTACAGGAACATGGGCAGTTTGATCAATCACGCCTGGAGTCACGTAGAGGATCCACTGCTTGTTTGTGGAGTGTGTGGAGAGCAGTTTGAATCTGTGGAAGAGTTAAAGGGACATTTCAGAAATGATCATAAAACTCACGACTGTTCATATTGTGGGAAATCTTTCCTCACCATCAGTAGCCTCAACTCCCACACCACTCTACACACAGGAGACAGACCGTTTAAATGTGACGTTTGCCACAAAACCTTTGCTAAGTTTTCCAACTTGAGTGTTCACCGTTGGGTCCACGTGGCTGATAAACCACACAAGTGTGATATTTGCCCGAAGGCATTTGGTCTAAAGACACAGCTCAAAGCTCACATCAAGGTACACACAGGTAGAGACAAGTACCACTGCAATGTTTGTGGTAAATCTTTGGCTGACCTGCGATCTTTGACTCGCCACAAGACGACCCACTCAGGGGAGAGATGTTACGGCTGTGAGGTTTGTGGGAAGCGTTTCAAACTTCCTGGTGGGTTGAAGTCACACGAAAAGATCCACACCTCGAGAGACCGGCCGTACCTCTGCCACATCTGCTGCAAGACGTTTGTGGAAAAGAGCAGTTTAAAAACTCACATGCTAACGCACAGCAATGAGAGGCCGTTCATCTGCAGCATATGTAGCAAAGGCTTCGTATCCAACGCAAGGCTGAACCTGCACATGCGTGTGCACACTGGCGAGGCGCCGTACAGCTGCTCAGAGTGCGGCCGCTGTTTTAAATATAAGTCCCACCTGAACAACCATGTGAGGACCCACCTGGGCATCAAGCGGTTTGTCTGTGGGGTTTGTGGGAAAGCGTGCTCTCGCCAAGAACACCTGAAGGTCCACATGAGGTTCCACAACGGAGAGAAACCTTACCAGTGCAGCGTCTGCGACAAAGCTTTCACTCAGAGCCACTGTCTGAAAACACACATGAAGATCCACCAGGGGGAAGAAAACCTGTTCCTGAACGCATCCACGTCCTAAAAGACTCCTTTTATCAGCCTGTTCTGTCTGAAACGTGGTGGTGGGGGTTGTTTTAATGGCGCTGAAAACCACATCTATCCTTCATTCTTTTGTGATACTGACGGAAATGTGTCCACAACACAGAGATAACGTCTGCTCAGTTTTGTAAACTTCTTTTCTCTTCTTTAAACACACAGTTGCTGATATTTTTTCCAGTTTTATTCAGACTAGGGCTGCATGATATTAAAAAAATGTGATACACCACAATATCGTTTTCTGTGAAATTTCACCAGATACATGCAGTGTGTTATTCACCTATAGATATACGTGAATTAACATTCGCAATTTTCATCATTTAGATATTTTAAAAGTCTATCCTCTTCCAACAACCATTCAGTCAATAATTAGGGGCTGCATTCACTTTATTTATTAATTATTGTTATTTGCTGTAATGGCCCTTTTAAAAGGCATTTCAACTGGTAAGTGGCGTTTTCTCCCAGAAGCCAAGGGAAGCCAGGCGTCCCCTGTCTTCATCAGACTTTTCAATGAAAACACAGTGTTTATAGTTTCAATAAACCTTTATAAGCTGTTGCGGTCATCTCTTCCCCATTTCTCACTATCTTACAATAAGTGAAACAGCGCCCCTCTAAATGCTACGCGTCTGATGTGTGGTGTGTATTGATAACAAGAGAGAGTGCGCATCTTTAAAGTTTTATTAATTTTGTAAAATTATACCCTGCACTGTAATAGCACAATGCATTAAATAATCGCCCTCCAAAAAGGACATCCCCTCTCACTTGGCTTCCCCAAATATTTACCCCACCCCACGCCACTGCTGGTTAAAAGTACTGGGAGACCTATAATCTGTCAAATATATCTCTCAAGAATGAAGTCAAGTCATTTTGAGGCAGAAATACCCTTTCAGTGAATAGGTTTAGGCTCCAATTCTGAAAATGTTCAGGGCCCTAAACTGTACAAGTGTAACAAGTTTCATGCTTTTATGAAAAAAAATTACATTATCACCTGGACTAAAACTTAATATTTATGAATGTTAATAAGAGTTAAATAAATATATAATGCTCCATGATACATAGAAGGCTTCAAATGGACCTGGTGATCGGTATCGGTCAGTACTACTTACAGCGATCGGCCCCAAAAATCCTGATCAGAGCACCTCTAGTCGCAGACATCCTCCCCCGTTGAGAGATGGTCTCTCCACAGTGGTGTAGACGGCTTCCTTCATTCTTTCATTTCACCATTTGTTCTCCCTTTCCATTGTTATAAACATTATTTTCCTTGACAGTGTCAAATGTAGGTAACCTGAATATTGACCTGAGGAGTTGACCCTTCTGTGATGAGCCATGTGTTTGTGTGGTGGTGGTTTAGTTTCCCCCAAATACAAGTCTGTACATTCTTCACTGCATTGGACAGCATTAGGATAGGCGCCGATCAGATATTGATATCAACCACGACTGGCCATTGGGAATTTTTGTGAACAATCCAGAACGGCCGGTTCAGCCTGAAATGGACGGTGTTCAAGAGTTTTTTTAGTTTTCAGTTTATGTTCAACTTTAAGTGGTCCGCGTTGGCTGGCCAGTCAGCTGCAGCGAACGCTGTCTATGTCTATCAGACTAGGCCAAACCAATACTTTCAATATTGAGGGGGGATACGGGCTCCTCCCAACTTGGACCGATCCTTTTTTTTGATGATGTCTGATTGGCTCATTTACTTTAAATACGTGTTGTCGGGGCTGAACTCAGCCCATTGTTGTGTGACACAACTGAGCAGGTAAATATGTCAAACAAAAAAAGAGGAAAAAGAAATGTGTGGAAAGGTGCCGTGGCAGTCACAGATGAGGCAGGACCCAGCACAGGTACCGATAAGTAGCCTAATGCATTTATTATATACTGAAATTATTTATATATATTATAAGTAATAACAACTCACTTGCCCGATCGGGCCAGTACAAAAGCAACCTGCAGTTGCTTTGTAGCTCATGGCACACACCCTTGTCCAATCCAGAGTTGTAGTTACATGAGTGGTTGTCAAATGTTATTTCTCTAATCTCAATTAAGCGGCAACCACTGGGTCTGAAAGTGAAAGGAAAAAAAGCAGCTGGGCCGGACTCTGTCTCCCCATCTACCCTTATGTTGACAGTATGTTCGTCTAGGTGTAGCACCTTATCACCACAGCAAATTCCTAGTATGTGTAAAACACTACTTGGCAATAAAGCTCCTTCTGATTCTGATTCAGCGGACTCGCCCATTGCTGGCTGTTAGAGAGAATGCAGGTTTAAGTTCCTTCTGCATGTTTTTTTGGCTGCTGTCAGCTCATCCTGAGCGATCCTGTCGGAGTGTCGGGAGAATAAAATAAACAATGACGTTATGATGCTGTCTTTCTTAATGGGGAGACGATTCATGCTATTAATAAGGATTCTTCTCATCTTATTTTAATTCTTCTATTCAAGAAGGTTAAAGTTGAGTTGTTTCATCCCTCATCCAAGAGACCAGTATCTTCAACCAAGTCCAGTTGCCCTCGACTTTAACCTTCGTTGGGTAACTATGACCTGGATGACTGAGAATCTTCATACACAATTCTTCTATTAATAAGGTTATGAGAAAGACCCATCCGATCCGCAGATATAACTGCGAGGACATCTTGAAAGTAACTCGAAGTAACGCAAAATAGTGTAAAGCAGTACAATTCAGAGACAGTAATATTGTTATCCAACTAACTGCTCTCAGAAGACAGTATCTAGTAATCTATAATGTATTACATTTTGGAAATAACTTGCCTTATATATCGGTTAACAAAATGCAAAGTGAATGAACAGAAGAAAATCAAATTAATTTTTGATTTGACCAGCATTTCCCTTCCAAACAGCCCTTTTTGTTTTTGTGTCTGGTCGGACACAATTTGTAGACGCACCAAAAACGGAAACAACACAGTTCAAACGAACAAAGTTATTGTGCGTAAACTATACAGCTGCAAGAAGAAATTAAATATGGTGTACTGTGCGCAGAGGAACAGCGGCGGCTCGGGGACCCCCGACAGCCCCAATAACATGTCCAAGACGGAGATCCTGAGAGGGATCGTCACCGAGAAACTGACAACAGCCGCGCAGGAAATCTTCGCGGTCGTGGAGAGAACCGTAGCCGGGTACGAGGAGGAGGCTTCGGGTCTGAGGCAGGAGATCGACCGGCAGAGGAGACAGCTGGAGGCGGTGCTGCAGCCTCGGGTCAAACTAGAGAGAAGAGGTCAGTGGCTCAATTGTTACAATAATAAATATCGAGCTTTGTTTTTTCAAGTTGTGGAACTTCATTTAAAAAAACGCTAATTTAAAGTTTCTGTGCTCGCTGACAAACCTGCAGACTCATGAGGACATAAAGTGAAAACTTACCCACATTTTCATGATGTGACTTACAAATCGGCATGAAGTCAAGTTTCTTGTTGATTAAAGGGCCCTGCTGTTTATCTACATAACTTCCAGGGCTTTGAGTGTTTATATCCTTAAGTTATACGATGAAGCTGCTATGAAAACACAAGTGGCTTTCGGCTGTTCAAAGCAGTATTTTTTGGTAAATGTTCATCTGAGTTCCTTTTACTTCTGATTTGAAAACAGAAGACCTGATCCCAGATCCAAAGGGCCAAGATGCTGTTGTGAGGGAAGAGGAGCACACACAGCAGTCAGGTAGGTCTACACTCTTCCTATTAAACGTGACATAAAATGAGGAGCAAAAAACAAGTATTAAGAACAAATCACAGAAGAATCAATGAAATGATAACTTTTAGAAAAGGATGAATCATATTAAGAAAATGTGTAAAAGTACTCCCGCATTGATAATGGTAAGCAAAATGATACAAAAACACTTAGAAAACAGATGAAGTCTTAGGCTGTGGCTTAAAACACTCAAAAGACTTTGCAGACCTGAATCCCAGGGGGAGACTGTTCCACAAATGTCCATTTGTGTCAGAGGTCTTGGTGGTGTGTGTGCCCAGAGCTGTCTTCGGCTTTGTAGTATTGCGAGAATAAGAGTACTGGGTGTAACGCATGCGTGACGCACGATGCAGTGAATGTGTGGCCAAAGTGTTTTTGTAGCGTACTTGATATTGTCTACTCACACACTGTTAAAACATCAATTTAGATATTGTCGTTGACGGTTAATATAATAAGTGATGGTACGGCCCCCACTAGGGTTGGGCGATGTCAACAAAATTTCCTTCGGACAATGTCTACTTTGAAACATCGTGATGGACGATGGCATCGGGTACGCTCTTGCGCGCGCGGAAGGGGGAGAATAGCGGTCGTCTTATCCAACAAGGTCAAAGTCAAGGGCAACTGGACTTGGTTGAAGATACTGGAAGACGTTTCGTCCCTCATCCAAAGGATGACTGAACTGAAGAAGTCAGAACTGAAGAAGTCCTTTGGATGAGGGACGAAACGTCTTCCAGTATCTTCAACCAAGTCCAGTTGCCCTTGATTTTAACCTTCGTTGGATAACTATGACCTGGATGACTGAGAATCTTCATAGACGGTCGTCTTATGTTATGTGCACGTGTTCACTCGCACAGAATTCACTCGGTTAAAAATTTGGTAGCCTATGACGGTACAAGTCACGGTGGATATTTTGCAAGTAGGTAAAGCAGCAGTGAACACACAGGGTGCAGATGTTGGTTTCGGTTGTTTGATAGGCTGCGTCATTAACTATGGAATGCTAAAAGGCTCACAATACGCCACTTTCCTACCTCGTTTTGTTAAAAAAAAACAGCGTAAAAAGCGCTGTGGAATTGTGTAAACAACGAAGCATTTTTCGTCGGTCTGGAGGCGGCTCATGTAACGCCGCTTTTTACGGGGTTCAGTGTCCCCAATGACGCGCATCATAACGCCTTACAAGACGCGTAGTGTTAAATGATAATGAGCTCCACCCTATCTTTTCAAAAGCCAATCAGTTTGAACTGTTATCACCCAATCAGTAATAAGTAAATAAGTTCTGACCTTTGACTCTATCTGTGTCCAGGTGAGGAGGACATTGGGAACCTGGGCCAACTTTGGTACGATGATGATGAAGAGGGTGATGTTGACAATGAAGAGCAGCAGCTGTCAGCGCAACTAGCAACCAGCTTAAAAGAAGATCTTAAGGACCCCGATTATCAATTAGAATCAAGGTGACAAATCACAGCTTAGCTAAAATTATGTGGACACCCCTGTGGGCATCCTTTTGTGTGCTCCTGGTCTGTTTTCCCTGGAACCATTTTGTTCAAATGAAGCTTGTTAGCTTAACATGCTCTTAGCATGCTAGTTAGCCAAATTAGTTGTCAGTTATTAAATCAAACAGCAACTATTTTATTAACCATGAATTGGTTTTAATTATTTTAGTTCAAAGTTCAAATTCATTCTTTTGATTTCAGGTAGCAAAGTGCTTGTATAGCAATCAATGTAAAACATAGACAAATGGAAAAACAATCAGAAACACACACAGTGGTGTGCAACAAATCAAAGAAAAAACAAACCCATGTAAAAAATAAATTACGCATCACTTAAATAAACAAACCTACAACATACAAATAATGGAGGAAATAATTAGGCATCCATAACCAGCTGTCCTTTTCAGACCATGTTGCTGCTGTCTCTCTGTCGTGCCGCTTTGCTCTATACAACATCAGAAAAATCAGGGCCTACCTCACTCAGTATGCCACCCAGCTTCTGGTGCAGGCCATGGTTATCTCTCTCCTCGACTATTGCAATGCCCTTCTAGCAAGTCTTACAGCTTGTGCAGTGAAACCCTTACAAATGTTTCAGAATGCAGCAGTGCGTCTGGTTTTTGATCAGGCCCCATGGCCTCCTGAGTCATATACCTAAACTCCATAATACAAGTTTACGTTCCTTCTCGGCCACTACGCTCCACCAACAAACGCCGCCTGGCTCTGCCATCCCTACACACAAAGCAAACTCAGTCCCGGCTATGGAACGAGCTACCACACGCCATCAGAGCAGGGACATCCGTCCCTCTCTAACTTCAAGAAGCTCATGAAAACTTATCTCTTCCAAGAACACTTTAACCTATAACTCCTAACCTCATGCACTTCCTGTGCTCTTCTTCTTCTTTCCCCTTACAATTCTCTTGTATTGATTGCACTTTTTGTTAAAACTTACTTTTTTCCCTAGGTATTTACCCCATTGATGTGATATGTGCTATCAATGGGGTAGGTTACCAGGATATTCCATGTCCCTGTGAGGGGGACAAGTAGATGATGTTTTTGAGTTGCCAGGACATGACGGGGAATATTTATCTTAAAAATAATGTTCATAGACGACTGCAGGATAATCAGAAATTGTGCTTTATGTCGACCATCTCCCAGACATTCGTCTGTGAGGAGGAAGCCTGGCAGACCAAGCCTCCGAGAAGAACCGGATCACCACCTGCTCAGAGTCTGCGTACTGGAGGATTCCCAGTCAGATGTTCTTTCAAAAAATGGTGAATATTAAAGATGTAGTTCTGGATGGACTAAATGTGTTGGATGGAGGTTGTTAAGAGGTAATGTGGAACACCTGCTGAATCTTTATCTGTTTCAGTGTTTCAGAAATATCCGGTTCAGGAGCTGCAGTGTCCTCGTGGCCTACAGGAGGCGGACTTCCTGGACCTGCTGAGGTCCACCTTCCCTCAGCTGGCAGGAGACAACAAACCTTTTGACGTCTTCAAGTCCAACAGAAGCAGGAGGCTCCAGCGGCTCAAAGTAAAGACGCTGACACCAGAGGAGATCTTCAGGAGCATCAGGCTCACCGGAGCAGGATACTCAGCCCTCTACATCCGACTGAAGGTAGATACTGTAGTATTACCCGTCTTCTTTTACCACGTACAGGTCCCTCCTCTGTAAGGCCCTGATACTACCTGAGGTTTCCTCTGAGATAGTCAAAAATTACATTACCCTTTAAATTGAACCAGCATCAGTTGAATTTTCTTTAAATATAATTTGTGAACAACTACTAGCAGACAGGAGATGAGGAAGAGGAGGAGGAGCTTCGCCTTTTACAGAGAAACAACACCACCACTGAGTCCTCGTCCACTGCCGCCGTGGTGATAAAAAGCAATGAAGCCGGGCTCAGCTCAAGGTAATTTAAAAAGAACTTGCATTGATTTCTGTTGCAACGGATTCCAGCAAATTACTTATTTTCATGTTTGAAAAGAAAGATCAAAAGTTCTGTAGAAACGTCTCTGCTGTTCCTCTGTGTGCTCAGTAGTACCGGGTTGTGTTTACTCCATACGAGTAGTCCAGAGATCAGGTCTGATGCAAAGTAACATCTCTCTGAACGGGCCGTTGCTTTTTATTTCAAATTTGGTACATAGGTTGGCTTCAAATTGATTCTGTGGTGGAAAGTGACTAAATACATTTACTCAATTACAATTTCGAGGTACTTGGGTCATGCCTGCCACTACAAATTCACTACATCCAGACATACTATACTTTTTACTCAATACTAGGGCTGTCCCCCAACTAAGGATTTATATAGTCGCCTGCTATTGACCATTCTTGTGCAGAGTTTTGCGTGCTTTAGAAAGATTTATTAAAAACTTCTTTCTTTTCACATTTTATACAGCCTTATATGTTGAAATTTATATCATAATAAGCTGTATATTAACTTACTGGGAGTAAAAGTAGTTCTATGTAAAATGACAAATTGAGCTCTCCCAAATCGCCGAAATTGTGTGATCCTACTTTATTAACGCCACTGATTGGCAGTCGAATCAGGTTCTGCCCATTGAAGCATCGAATCTTTGACTATTCAGGGTCAACCCTACTCAATACATTTATTTCTCAGCTTTAGTTACTTCAGATAAATAATCCAATATGCTAACAAATATATTAGGATATATTTGGTAAGCTTGCTACCTTCAACTAAACCTATTTAAGACTGAACTCGTTGTCCAGCCAAGCAATCTATCCAGCACAACATCAAACTACAAATTGGTCCCTCAACCATCACTCCAACCAGCATTGTGAGAAACTTGGGTGTCATGATTGATGACCAGCTGTCCTTTTCAGACCATGTTGCTGCTGTCTCTCGGTCGTGACGCTTTGTTCTATACAACAACAGAAAAATCAGGCCCTACCTCACTCAGTATGCCACCCAGCTTCTGGTCCAGGCCATGGTTATCGTTCGCCTAGACTACTGCAATGCCCTGCTAGCAGGTCTTCCAGCTTGTGCGGTGAAACCCCTACAAATGGTTCAGAACGCAGCAGCGCGTCTGGTTTTTGATCAGCCCAAAAGGACTCATGTCACTCCATTACTGTTTGACCTCCACTGGCTCCCCATGGCCTCCTGAATCAGATCACTAATGCTCACAAGTCACTAATGCTTGCAAACAGAGTGACTACTGGGTAGGGCTGTACATAACGATAATTTTATTGGTTCGTCGATTTAATCTAATGACTGAGAAAAGAAAAAGTTGCCTATTACTCGACTAACGTACCATTTTATCCAAAATAAATATCAAAAATATGTCTAATCAATAATATTTTATTCAGTCATCCTGATGAAGCACGTTAGAATAATGACAATAGCAGCATATCTTAAAATGAATCACATTTCCACGTCACTGATGGGTTTTGATAATACTAAAAATAACAGACATTAATTAGACTACTTTACTTAAAAGTTTAAATGTTACTGGTATTGATTTATTTCAATATTGAGTAATGCGGTATGATAATCAAATTTATTTCTGCATCAGTGTGGGGCAAAGAAAACAACTGAAACAATTTACAGACTGTGCAGACAGTTACAGATCGTCTGTAATGTTAGATGCAGCTGTTTTCTCACTCGGCACTTACGTGGCCGTTAAATAAACAGAAAATAGATGACATGATGTAACGTAAAGTTACCATGACAGCAGCGGGTCAGAATTTACTTTTAACATAAAGGTGATGAAGAAATACTAAGGAAATAAATTTTTTATGGACGACGTGTCCTCGTTAATGATATAATTACTGATACCAATAGGAGAAAGTAAATGGAAGATACAAAAGTATTGGAATTTAAATAGGTGTTTTTTTGTTGGAATTTACTGTGGCACTAAGTCAGCGGCAGTTTAAGAGTTGTAAGAAGTTTTGAATATGTTTCATTGAATTGTTGAGATTGATTTTGAATGGCTGAGCTTTGGTCCAATGTTACATGTTTTGTTAAAATATTCCACCACTGTGGAATATTGAGTTGTTTTCCATTCTTCCAATTAAGTAAAATAGTTTTCTTGGCGATAGGGCTAATAAGAAGGGGTGTTATTTGTTTTTGTGATGTGAAGTGTACCTGGATCTCCTAGTAAACACAGTAATGGGGATAAGGGGATGTGTTATCCAAGGATCTGTGCTAGTTTAATGGTTATTTCTTTTCTGAAGTGTTTGGCGTACTGGTGGGCAGAGCCAGAGTGCATGGAAGTAATGGTCAGTTGTGTTAAAAGTACAGTGAATGCAGATGTCAGAATGCAAATGTCAGTACCATTACGTGCATCTTGTGTTGAGTAATATATATTCTGTGAATGACTTTGTTCTGCTAAAGATGTTCTTGCATATTTGGGTCCAGAATTCATTATTAGTGCTGGTTGAAATCTTTTTCCCACTTATTTATTGGGAGAGATATGGTGGAATCAATGGAAGACAGAAGCTTATATATATTTGTGAGAGAGGTTTGTTTGAATTAACAGTTTTAATGATGTTATTTAATAGGGGTGGTGGTTGAAGGTTGTGTTCATTTTTGCCTTGATTGCGTGCTTTAAATGAGTGCATTGTAAGTACTGCCCTTGACAGTTCTGAAGAGGAGCTTCCATCCGTGCTGACATAGTGGTAGAATTGTTGATTTTCCAGTTTATTAATTAGTTGGAAAGGTTAGAGTAGACATTGATGATTTTCATAACTTCCTTGAGTGATTTGTTTGGGTTTTGCAGAGTTAATATTGTATCATCTGCATAAAGACTAATTTTGTGTGTTCGGTTATTTGTTGTGATACCGGTAATTATATTGTTACAGCTAATGATTCGATAAATATTGCAAATAGTGACGGTGAGAGAGGACATCCTTGTCTGGTCCCTGAGTGTGAAGCTTTGTGAATGTATTCCATTTGTAGTGATTGTTGCCATGGGTGTGCTAGAAGGACGAGGGTTCAAACCTCGGTTGCCCCGGCCTTTCTGTGTGGAGTTTGCATGTTCTCCCCATGTATGCTTGGGTTCTCTCCAGTTGCTCTGTACAAAGACAGACGGACTAGGTTAATTGGTGACCCTATATTGTCCTTAGGTGTGAGTGGTTGTTTGTCTATGTGTGGCCCTGCGATGGACTGGTGACCTGTCCAGGTGTACCCCGCCTTTTGCCCGATGTCAGCTGGGATTGGCTCCAGCCCCCCGCGACCCTGTACGCAGGATAAGTGGTTGACGATGGATGGATAAATCCAGCATTGTTTGCAACCCCGTGTACATGGAGCTGGCAGTCTTTTTCTTCCCTTCTAGCTCGAGAAACAAAACAGCTTAGTCCCATAAGCCCTATAAGACTTCAACAACTCCACAGCGAACCTTGTCATAATTCCTAATGTTGTATTTTATGTTCAAATTTGGTCCGGATTAATGTGAGGACTCCTGGGCCCCGTTTCAGAAAGCAGGATTAGTGAAAATTCTGAGTATGTTGAACGTGAGATGAGGGAAACTCTGGGATTTCTGTTTCAGAGAGCGAGATCAGATAATCCCTAGATCAGTAACTCGGTCCGTTTCTCTCTGACTCCTCCCCTCCTGCAGAGCCTGAGGCGGCTGTCTGACACACCGTTTAATTTCCTCATTCATTCTGTCGATATCAAAGCACATATCTGAACGTATTTACATCTTTAAAAACTTTAAAATCCCGGTTAGATAGGCTATTAGTTTTTACCCAAACATGATCTTGAAAATGACCGCTTTTTGATCGATCTGTCATCGATCTCTGCACATCGTGGATTTATCCTCAGCACAGAATAAAATCGATGTCCGTCTTTAACGCTGCAACTCTGTGGACAGTTGCACTGAAAACACTTACTGTGGGCTACATTACTGCAAGAATTACTGTTTAACATGTAACCTATAAAACTGATCAATGAACTGATAATCTGAATGTTTTTTGACAGCATTAATAAAATACGAAATGAGATTAATGTAAAATAGACATCTAAAACATTAACACACATCTTCCACTGCAAAAAAAGAATTAATAGGTTAACCTGCTGGGTGTGTCTGACTTTACAATCACAGGTTCACGAGTAAACTGTTTTTATATTTGATCTGTAGGCCTACCTATTTTCATAATCAGGTTTTTGTCCTGTCAGGTTACAGCTTAATAAGTATAGCCTTCCTATTTAAAATGTAACGGGCTGTAACACTTCATTTAAGGAAATCCCAGTCTGGTAAATGATGAATGAGCAACACTGTATAGTAGCCTAATAATTTTAACATATCGATCCTTCTTCCAATCGCGTTTTCGAGCCTATCATGGTCCGCGTTGGCACGCATTCATATTTCTAGCTCCACCCAATTAAAGTGGAGGCTCTGCCTTTATTTACCCGTTGCCATGGTGAATCTTAGTATCGGAGCTCCATTGATGATGGCTTTTTTTCCATCCCCACGCACGCGCTTCCATCAGGCTCAACATACTCAGAGTTGACTGAACTTATTATGATCAGCTGTTCTGAAACCAAAGAGTTTGACACCTTAGGCTCAATCAACCCAGAGTTTATTAAGCCTGCTTTCTGAAACAGGGCCCTGGACACTACAATTATCTGTGTATGCACAAAGTAAAGTTTACATTTTTTCCCACAGCTGCCCTGTTCAACATGTGGAAGGTGACAAAGTTGATGTTCAGTCCAGCAGCTCAATATCACAACAACAGGATATAGAAACAGAGGAAGCTGATGATGAAAATGCTGCCGAGAGCCAAGTGGACTCCAGTGATGATGCAGACAAAGATGGAGATGAGGTGTTCAACGGAGACGACGACTGGAAACCAGATCCTGAGCTGCAGTCGCCAAAGAAGAGGAGGAAGAAAGAGTCCAAATTGTCTGATGTGAAGGGGCAGTTGATTGGGAGCAGTAAAACGCCCTGTAAAGTCTGTGGAGTTTGGTACAGGAACATGGGCAGTTTGATCAATCACGCCTGGAGTCACGTGGAGGATCCACAGCTTGTTTGTGGAGTGTGTGGAGAGCAGTTTGAATCTGTGGAAGAGTTAAAGGGACATTTCAGAAATGATCATAAAACTCACGACTGTTCATATTGTGGGAAATCTTTCCTCACCATCAGTAGCCTCAACTCCCACACCACTCTACACACAGGAGACAGACCGTTTAAATGTGACGTTTGCCACAAAACCTTTGCTAAGTTTTCCACCTTGAATGCTCACCGTTGGGTCCACGTGGCTGATAAACCACACAAGTGTGATATTTGCCTGAAGGCATTTGGTCTAAAGACACAGCTCAAAGCTCACATCAAGATGCACGCAGGTAGAGACAAGTACCACTGCAATGTTTGTGGTAAATCTTTGACCAACCGGCGATCTTTAACTCGCCACAAGACGACCCACTCGGGGGAGAGACGTTACGGCTGTGAGGTTTGTGGGAAGCGTTTTAAACTTCCCAGTGGGTTGAAGTCGCACGAGAAGATCCACACCTCCAGAGACCGGCCGTACCTCTGCCACATCTGCTGCAAGACGTTTGTGGAAAACAGCAGTTTAAAAACTCACATGATAACGCACAGCAATGAGAGGCCGTTCATCTGCAGCATATGTAGCAAAGGCTTCGTATCCAACGCAAGGCTGAACCTGCACATGCGTGCGCACTCCGGTGAGGCGCCGTACAGCTGCTCAGAGTGCGGCCGCTTGTTTAAACACAAGTCCCACCTAAACGACCATGTGAGGACCCACCTGGGCATCAAGCGGTTTGTCTGTGGGGTTTGTGGGAAAGCGAGCTCTCGCCAAGAACACCTGAAGGTCCACATGAGGACCCACAACGGAGAGAAACCTTACCAGTGCAGCGTCTGCGACAAAGCTTTCACTCAGAGCCACTGTCTGAAAACACACATGAAGAGCCACCAGGGGAAGAAAACCCGGTTCTGAACGCATCCACGTCCTAAAAGACTCATTTTATCAGCCTGTTCTGTCTAAAACGTGGCGATGGAGGTTGTTTTGATGGCGCTGAAAACCACATCTGTCCTTCATTCTTTTGTGATGCTGACGGAAATGTGTCCACAACACAGAAATAATGAACATCAAACGTCTGCTCAGATTTGTAAACTTCTTCAGTCCTTCTTTGAACACACATTGTGGTGGCCCCAGGGCCTCTGCCAGGGTGTTTCTGTGTGTCTGTGTTGCAGGGTGAACTTCCTGGTGGAGTGGAGCTGAGGCTATCCGGCAGATCAGAGGCAGCTGGCCACTGTCTCCAGATTGCATATAATCCACCCCTTCCTGACTGATGTGGGGCTCGACTGCTTGCTTTCTCCTGGTCCCCAGCACCACGGCATGTTGCCTTGTTGCTCCTTTGTTTGTTTAAGTTAACCCGGCATTATGTTTTGCAACTTAAATAAATTTTCTGGTAATCCTCTATTTGCTGTGGTCTCTGAGCCGGGCCATAACAAATTGGGGGCTCGTCAAAGTCATGAATTATGCTGTTAACAGTGGTTAATTAATGTATTGTTGACCGTTAAAACGATGAGTAGGAGCGTGTTGTAAATCCGTGCCTTCCCTAGATGCCGACAGGGGGGTGATGCAGTAAATTGGGGTTTGCCCAGGTGGTCTAGTCTGGGATTCTCTTTATTCCGCTCTTCTTCTTTTTTTTTTTGTGTGGAAACCTACGTAGGGGAATTAACAAGGTGTAATTTGGTGCTATGGGGTGATGGAATCGTTAGTGCAAATTAGTTTCTCTCTGCAGAATAGTCACGGGACAAGGAAGGTAAGTGTTGACCTTTTTTTTGCGCAAATGTATATATTGAGCTAACTCCCCTGTATGCAGAGCACGTTTTCCCTCTTTGTGATTCGTGTCAATGTGAATGTAGTGCGGGGTGAAAGTGGTTGGAGCGGTTGTCTCGTACATTGCCAGCTTGCTGGTCGCTTGGCCAAACTACTGGGTTTTGGTGCGTAAATACCCGCCGCCAGAAACTCCTGCAGACCAGGGTTGAGTTATGTAGATGGAGTTATGCAGTTCAGAGGGGACGCTCAATTTATGAGGTTACTCTGTGGCCTTGTTGCGCACTAGTTAGGTCAATACTATACATTCTTTTGTTTACCATGGACTGATTGCTGTTTGTGCATTGATCAGGTGATGTTAATCATGGCAGGAGTAGATTATTTCATTGACATTCCTTCGGAGGAATTTTTGTACTAGGGATCAGTTGTTAAAGATAGCAGATAATTATAAAATCAGCGTAGGCGTCAGGAGGTTATAGGAAAATGTTAGGTCTATTATAAGGGCACATTTACATGACATGGGTGTAACACCTGTACAAAAATCGCACAGTCCTACTAATTTGGATTTGGATGGTTTTTCTCAGGATGTGTCTCCTCCATGTAGCTTTAAATTATGAACAGCAGAAAGAAATGTTGATTTTGAGGATGAAGTCAGAGTTGGAAAAGATGCGGCAGCAAGCAGCATAAGTTGAGAAAGCATTGCCTGTAGAACAAATGAGGAAGCAAACAGAAAGGGCAAAGTTAGATCCAGAAAGTGAAAGACTGAGGTTGATTAAAGAAGGTAAATTATGTGACTTCTCAAGGAATGAAGAGTTTGCTCGGGGCAGCGATATTTTAAATAGTTTGCGCTTGGTGCCTAAATTTAGTGAGAAGGACGTTAATGTATTCTTCACTTTTAGCGTGTTGCAGACGCGAGGGGCTGCGTTGTTTCTGACTGTATAGTTTTGCTACAATGTCTGTATGTTTGTTATATTTGTTAAATTACTTTTGTTAATAAACATCCTTTTCTGGTAATCCCTTAAGCGTGGTTTCCTCTATTTGCCTTGGCCTCTGAGCCGGGCCATAACAACAGTTGCTGATATTTTTTCCCGTTTTATTCAGACTAGGGCTGCATGATATTTTAAAAAAATGTGATACACCACAATATCGTTTTCTGTGAAATTTCACCAGATACATGCAGTGTGTTATTCACCTATAGATATACGTGAATTAACAATCGCAATTTTCATCATTTGGATATTTTAAGTCTATCCTCTTCTAACAACCATTCAGTCAATAATTAGGGGCTGCATTCACTTTTTTTTGCAAGTGCAATACTACATGTTATTTGCTGTAAAGGCCCTTTAAAAGGCATTTCAACAGATAAAGTACTGGATGAGCTATAATCAGTTAACTATATCTCTCAAGAATGACCTTTCAGTCAATAAGTTGAGGCTCCATTTCTGAAAATGTTCAGGGCCCTAAACTGTACAAGTGTAACAAGTTTCATGCTTTTATGAAAAAAATTACATTATCACACATCACCTGGACTAAAACTTAATATTTATGAATGTTAATAAGAGTTAAATAAATATATAATGCTCCATGATACATAGAAGGCTTCAAATGGACCTGGTTATTGGTATCGGTCAGTACTACTTCCAGCGATCGGCCCCAAAAATCCTGATCAGAGCACCTCTAGTCGCAGACATCCTCCCCCGTTAAGAGATGGTCTCTCCAGTGGTGTAGACGGCTTCCTTCATTTTCATTTCACCATTTGTTCTTCCTGTCCATTGTTAAAAAACATTGTTTTCCTTAACAGAGTGTCAAATGTAGGTAACTTGAATATTGACCTGAGGAGTTGACCCTTCTGTGATGAGCCATGTGTTTGTTTGGTGGTGGTTTAGTTTCCCCCAAATACAAGTCTGTACATTCTTCACTGCATTGGACAGGAGAAAGGAGTGAATTCCGTCCCACAATTCCTTGAGGCGGCAACATTTAAGCGGCGCACCTTCTCAAACTCAAACTATAAAATCCATCAACCACATTAACCTCTACTGTAGGCGTTTCCACCGTGTTGTCTACCTTTAGATGGCCTGCATTACAACAACACGGAGCGAAGTGTCAAAGATGCGCTTTTTGTAGTCCATCTTCGGAATATTGTAGTTTTTTCACGGCAGGCCGCGTCAGTAAGATCCGCCGTCGCATAATTACGTCGCTTAGAAAAGAGCAGGCGGATTATCTGAGACCCGCGGTCCTCTTTTCCTAATAAGTCCTTATGGATTCTCCTTTACATCTTTCCTACCTCATGCCGTTTTCCATCGAGGTCAAAGAAAGGAGATTTCACACTTGGACTGATTTTTTTTTTTTTTTTTTTTTTTTTTTTTTTTGCTGAAATCTGATTGGCTCAAGGTCCGATCAAAGGAGTTTCTTCAAATACGTGTTGGTTCACGGGGACAAGCACAACAGAGCAGGTAAATATGTCAAAAAGAAAGAAAGAGGGGAAAAAAAGTGTGGTGCCAAAAAAAAAAGCATTTAGAAGAAAAACACTTTTGGCACAAGACGCAGCTAAATGCGCCAAATTAACCTCTTCGTTGGTGGAAAGGTGATGTGACAAGAATGAGCAGCCTAATGCATTATTATATACTGAAATTAATTATATAGCTTATGCATTTATTTATATTGTGTGGACTCAATCAAAACACCGCTATAAATCTTGACTTAATGTTAGCAAATTTACTAATAACGCACCGCACAACGGTAACGTTGCGGCACGGAGGTGTCGAGCTTGAGCGAGCAAGCGGGCAACATCACCGGCCTCAGCAGCCTCTATGGACACAACATCGGCTGATGGCAGAAGTGAAGAGACCGAAGAGGATAGTGGTGAGATCTTTGTCAAATAAAAGGCTGCGAGACAGGGTTAGAAAAGTAACACAGTTACAGTGATGTGTTGCTTTTTGCTGGAACGCAGGAATATAATGCATAAAAGAAAATAGGTAATATTACAC